AAATTCTCGTAAAAAAAAAAAAAAAAAAAAAAAAAAAAAGAGTCCTTCTTCCAACCGATAAGAATCCATAGGTTATAAAAATTCTTCCCCTCCCCCCCCCCCAAAAAAAAGAAAAAAGAAATTAGGGTCGATTTAATTCAGAGCGGATCAAATTAGATATACACGGATTAAGTTAGAGTCAAGTTAAATTGGTTGAAAATAAAATTAGAACGAGATTAAAAATAAATTTCATCCCCTGGTGGTTTATCCTCCAACGCCTCAGGATGTTTATTATTTTCATAAATCATTTTTCCAGGTCAGTCAGTGGGGACGGATAGGTAGTAGAGATCTCAGGGTGAACGTACTCTCGAAATTCCCTAGTATCGGGCTCTCCATTCAACCGAGCTCTATTATTAACACCGGACCTTCATGGTGTATCGTGATACGGCCGCGTGTTCCCGCTCGTATCACGATCTCACGCGCATCGATTCTACCGTTTCGATTAATAATCGCGACAAGTTTCCTGGAACAGGTTAGACCGATTCGAAATTTCCCAGATCCTAGATTTTCTAGCGTTGCACAATTTCCACCAGAAATTACACTCGACGAATCTCAAAATGAAACGATTTTCGTTGGAACAAAGCAATTGTTGACACATTTTGCGACGTTTCGATTAATATTCCCGATTAACGCTCGTTCGAATTTCCTAGGACAGGTTATACTAATTCGAAATTCCCTAAGTCGCGCGGATTTTTAGTGGAAATTTGTACTCGATGAAAGTGGAGCGAAGCAGCTATTGACACGATTGCGTTCTTTAATAATTGCGATTAACATTCGTTCGAATTTCCTAGAACAGATTGGACCGATTCGAAATTCCCTAGGTCGCGCGATTTTTAGCGGAAATTGCATTCGACGATTGTCAAAGTGAAACGATTTTTGTTGAAAACAATTGTTGACGATTAATATTCGCGATTAGCATTCGTTCGAATTTTCTAGAACAGGTTGAGCCGATTCAAAATTCCCTAGGTCGCGCGATTTTTAGCGGAAATTGGATTCAAAGTGAAACGATTTTTGTTGAAAACAATTGTTGACGATTAATATTCGCGATTAACGCTCGTTCGAATTTTCATAGAACAGATATTTTCTCGAAATTCTCTAAGTGGTGCGATTTTTAGCGAAAATCTCGAACGAGACTCGACGATTCTGAAAGCGAAACAATGTTCGTTGGAAACGATTATTGACACGATAGCAGTGTCTCGATTAATATTCTCGACTAGCGCTCGTTCGAGTTTCCTGAAACAGGTTAGCTTATCGAAATTCCCTAGATCGCGCGATTTTTAACGGAAATTGCACTCGACGATTCTCAAAGCGAAACGATTTTCATTAGAACAAAGCAGCTGTTGACACAGTTGCGGGGTTTCGGTTAATATTCTCGGCTGGCGGCTCGTTCGAATTTCCTGAAACAGGTTGGGTTATCCAGAGTTCCCTAGATCGCGGGGATTTTTAACGGAAATTGCATCGACGAATCGCTCCGCTCAAAATGGAACGATCTTCGTTGAAACGGAACAAAACTATCGACGACACGATTACCGCGAAAAGTTTACTTTACTCGAGACTCAAGGATTGATTTATCGTTGGCGTGCATCGAAATTGGGGTTCCAAGTCGTTAAAAACTCGTTTCGAAAAAAAAGAAAAAAGAATCTCGACAGCTTTAAGAAATCCAACTTTTTCGTAGCCAATAAAACCCACCTTCCAAATTTTCCTTTCGATAAATATAGCATGCCAACAGATAATAGTTAGATAGAACATCGTTTCTGATTTTGAGTCGATACAAATTTTCGATCTTTCGTCGACTCGGCCGATAAGATCACTCGTGAAAAAATTCTTAGCAATTTATTCACGAATATT